AAATTGATTATATTCTGGTCAATAATGTATGGAAGAATTCTAAATAGTATTTTAAGAATTCTAATATTAAATAACCGCGCATATCGTTGAGCCAAAATTGGCAACCTTTACGGAATGCAGACCACTTTATGGTTAGAATTTGGATCTAAATGAAACTGGAAATGCGTCAAACACGGCCTCCCTTTTTGGCTATCCCAAGTTAAAAGATCCACAGGTAGATGGCACATTTCAAGCTGAGGTTTTGAACACTTGGAAGGTTTTAATAACTTCCAAAAGTGCCAGTTCCAGTTAAAGTCTTGGCTCCTGAAATCGACCAAATCCGATATACGGCTGAGAAGAAGGCAAACTGGATCTCGAACTATATGCCAACAACTGCAGCGAGAATTGGAGTATATTTAGAAGTTATTAGCTTTTGACCACTCATGTCTAAGATATATTTTATGGATCCGTCGAGAGGATAAAATTGCACATCACTGTATTTATCATCCCTCAAAATCACCTGTATTAATAATGTTATCACAGAACGTTGCCTTCGCTGGTTAGGGCACATTCTCCGTCGTCCACCACAGGAGCTGACGCATATTCCGCTACTTGCTGAACCCTTAATGGCGTCAAAAGTGAGGAGAACCAATCAAGACCTGAAACTGTCAAGAAATATTTTGAACGTGTAGAGGGATCAGCGATATGGACTTGGACGATGGAAAAAGGAATGGCTTCTATTACTATTGGCGATGGTGTCGGATTGAGTAGTTTAGAGATGTCTTAGCTTTGAGATGTCTTTGTAGCCTGCGGAGCCAGCTTAATCAGTAATGGTGAGAGTTGTTAGGAGAAGAAGAAGGAACAACAGATATCCGACTATATTGCCAGATTGCGCGTGTTCTCATTATCGAAAGCTCTATAGATTCACGGCGAACCCAATACAAAAACTGATACTAGAGTGACGCAATTCTGAATATGGAAATAACGCCTAAGATTAATAAACGCCCGAAGATGGCCTATGAACTGAATTTTTCAAATGCTGCAGCGTCCTACACACGTAAGGCATTGGCAGTACCCAATCCCCAAGAAAAAGGACTGCGACAACTATCGCGGAATCAGTTTGCTAGTTATTTTTGGGAAAGTTTTCGCTTTTTTTCGCTAGATAAATTGAGTAACCAAACAGTGCATTATAGCATGGCACGTCCTAGCCAAGCTAGATTTCGGTGGTTGTGCTGACCAAAATTTACTGAGAACTGGAGGAACGCTTCAAATATTGGCAATCTACCTTTAAGTGCTTCACCCATTTTATTATTTCTTTTGATTCAATTGATATGGTGACGCTCTGGCAAGTCATGCAACACGATGGTGCCCCTGAGAACTAATCAGTAATTAGACTTATTACTGATTTATCGCATATCAACATACTTTCATGTGAGGGAAACTTTCGAGACCTTCGACAATATCGACGTCAAAGTTCTCTCTCATAAAAATTCGAATTATGTAAAAGAATACGCAATACTAATAGGCAATCAAGAAATATACAAATCAGTCCAAAGCATAGAACCGCGTATCACGTAGAACCTTGAATATGCCGTGAACCTTTTCGCTGATTACGAGGAACTGCAACAAAAGCCAGAGCGGATTTCGGCAGCAGTAGCGAAAATTGGCCTTCAAACCAATTTAAACAAGAAAAACCCTTTTTGTCATAAGTACCAAATATTGATGAGATCGCAGTTCACCAACGATTGAAGAAATATCACATTTTTTTAAATATTTCGGACCCTCTCTTGTTAGAAGTGCATTCTTTTATCTGGCTTCACTTAGAAGTTCACTTAGAATCACCGCAAAATCAAAACGAATATATTTCGCTGTAGTATGCATAATTCTACGATATGGCTATATAAAACTTAACCAATGAGTCTGGAAGATGTCAGGAATCTCTTTGCCTTCGACCATTCTTACCTAAGGTACATACTTCTTATCCGCCAAGTGGACTGAATCTCATATGACTGAGTTTCCATGTTTGCAACTATAGCTCCCCAGCAGAGCAAGAAAAAATCTCATTCAGAAGTTTAAAACGAATAAAACTCCTAGGAAAACGTTAAAGTCTTCAAATATTGTCCAACGTCTTTCACAACTCTTTCAACGACTGTCGAAGAAAGAAATTATTGCGATATTGCAATGTTTGAAATATATCGAGAAGGAATTACCCTATCTCTGAAAAGATTGTCGCCTTTTTTCTGATAAACAGACTTATGGTACTATGAGGCAACGAGAAGCGCTCAAACTGAGTTCAGACCAGCGCGCAGATATGCTCATCAAATATCCACGCTAAAAAGAGGATTAGTAAAAGAGAATTCAGAAGGAGTGTACTTTTAAATAGTGTCAAAGATCTTGAATATGCGGTGATTATGCAGTCCTTTTTGCTGATAATTATGAAAAAATGGCACCGTAGTAACAACTGAAGCAATGATCAGAGCCAGGATCAACGTAAATAAGACGAAAGTACCAATCTCTGGTAAAAACATCTGCTTCTATCAGTTCGTCCCGATTTACCGATTGAAACAATGCCAAATTTTAAATATGTTTGACTCAAACACCAAATGGCCAAGTTAAAGGCGAAATCGCAGTGCGGACAGATCCACTTAGAGGTGCATTTATTTGTCTGGCGAACTCTTCATGAAATCGCGAAATCATCAAATTCGAATCGAATCCATTTGACGGTTGAGCATACCAACCACACCTTTTACATAGCTGCGCACATGCCCAGGGGGAATGGAAAATGTTAAAAAGCTTTTGACCGCTTATGGCTAAGGAACATGCTGGCCAAGCGGATGAAATCTCGCACAAACCTATGTACCTCGCTCAAATGTGACTTTATATGCTAATATGCTAACTTACCTATTAACTTATAAACAGCGAGAGAGGGGAACAGCAAGTGGCATGTCGCCTCTGTTAGGCTTAAACCGTCGTTGGTGTGATTGTTGCGCCTTGAATAAACGATGGTGAGCTCGCCATTAAAAGGAAATCCGCACTCACTTGTCCTTTTAACTTAGAGTGACTCTCCGGAGAAATGATCGAACTGGCAATTGTGTGAACTACTCGTAGTGCCACAAACAGCTAAAATAAAAGAACCCGAGGTTGAGAAAAACCATCGGTCTTATAAATCCGATCTCATACGAATCCTAATGGCAACCCAGCAAATAGAGCTTATGACCTTGATCGAAACGACCGAAGCGGGATTCCTAGCAAGCCACACCCAGTAAAGAGACCCCGTCGGGACCCCAAAGAAAAACATTGTATTGTATATTGTCTGTGACGATATACTAAATTAATCTGCATCGATATAATTTCATGATGAACAACAACATATAATTATAGCAAAAAAATGCATTCACAAAATTCACGATTAATAATTTTAGAAGAAAGAGAAATCACAGCGAGAAACCTGGAATTGGAACTAAATGAGGGGTGAATGGTGTGTACGTCGACGATTCGCAAATCCTCGTTCAATACAATTCTATTTGAACCAAATGGGCATATCTCTCGCATAAATTAATACTTCTTCAATGGTACCGAAGCAGAGATTTAGGTCATTTCTCTCGTATAAATTAATACTTCTCCAATGGTACCGAAACAGAGAGATTTGTTAGTGTTAACTTACGGGAACCCATTCACCAACCAATTCACTTTCCCACGTTTTTATCGGAATTTTGCGTTTAATACCTTTCTAATAGATCGCTGTGAATTAATTCTTACAATTCGTCGATCGATATCTCCGAACTGAAAATCTGCAAAATGACCTCCGCGGGACTCTACTACATAGGCCACGAAGCCGAAAATCAATATTCGCATCTAACAATTTAAATGTCATTTTTTCAAATTTTTATTATAAAAATGGTTAATAATGAGAAATTTAATAAAAAAATATCCTTTTTGCAGAAATTTTAATAAATTTTTTAGATTAATTCACCATTAACTTCAACACTTTAACCAATAAAATAGTTAATGAATGTCTTTTTCGAGGTTAAAAAATTTCGACTGTTCTTTAATAATAATTTAAATAATAATGAACAATTTGCTTTGTCCAAGCAAAATTTATTATAAAGTTAAGGAAATTCCAAATTAAACTTTATAACTGAAACTCTTTTACAAATTTGCATCCAAATTTTAGATCCGCTAAGTTTAAGTTTGAACTTCGTAGAATAAAGCAACTTTGTTGCTCCTTTCTTTCCATCCATCCATATGGATTTCAACTTCGTTCAGTCGGCATAATTCTGCCCCAAGAAATGAAAAAATGAAAACGGTTGTTTAGGAGAAAATTTTCAAGCGAATACGACGACGACCACTAAATATGCACTTAAGAAATGAATAAACTAACAAATAAGTACAAACATAGGCAAAAAAAGACCGTGGAAAAAAGTTTGTTTCATGAAGATTAGTGGTCCTAAAGAGGACCGTTTGGGACCAATGTGCCGAGGATTTACGCTTTTTCAGCAGTCTTTTTCGGCAATAACACAGCCTGAATATTTGGTAAGACGCCACCCTGTGCAATTGTTACACCAGCCAATAGCTTATTTAGTTCTTCATCATTACGAACAGCCAACTGAAGATGTCGAGGATTAATACGCGTTTTCTTGTTATCCCTCGCTGCATTGCCAGCCAATTCAAGCACTTCAGCAGCCAAATACTCTAATACAGCAGCTAAATAAACGGGAGCTCCAGCACCAACACGTTCAGCATAGTTGCCTTTACGCAATAGACGGTGAATGCGACCAACAGGAAATTGTAAACCAGCACGAGAAGAACGACTCTTTGCCTTACCAGACGTCTTCGCCTTACCACCCTTGCCGCGACCTGACATTTTTCAAATTCAAACGATGTCATATATATCTACATCGAGGTTTATATAGATATTTCTGAAATGGGCGGTGCCAATAAAACAAGAGTCCAAGAGAGAATATAAATAGAGCAGTTTTCGTTCACCATCATTTCTTGTTAGTTGCGTTTATCTGTCCATTATGCCACCAAAACCGTCAGCGAAGGGAGCGAAAAAGGCGGCAAAGTCGCAGAAGGTTCGTTCGGGTGATAAAAAGCGTCGTTTGCGTCGTAAGGAGTCGTATTCAGCTTACATTTATCGGGTGTTGAAGCAAGTCCACCCGGACACTGGGATTTCTGGAAAAGCAATGTCGATCATGAATTCATTCGTTAACGACGTATTTGAACGAATTGCTGCTGAAGCAAGCCGTCTTGCTCATTACAATAAGCGTTCAACAATCTCGTCACGTGAAATCCAAACGGCTGTACGCTTAATCCTTCCTGGTGAATTAGCTAAACACGCGGTTTCTGAAGGGACAAAAGCTGTCACCAAATATACATCAACTAAATAAATCGCTGTGTATTATTTGGTTATCCCAAACGGTCCTCTTTAGGACCACTAATTCCAATGAATAGAACTTTTTCTCACAAATTATTGTAAATCTTATTTATTTTTAAAATTTAAAACGTTTAATAAAATATTTTGGCAAGAATGGTTTATATTTTTCGTTTTGTTGTTGAAAGTGTTTGAATTGGTTGAGCTTTGTGGGTTTTAAGGGAAATGAATAAAACAGAGAGGTGCATAAAGTGTTTCTCGTGAGAATGGTTGTGAGCAAATGTTCCCTCGGTCATTTAGAGTCCCGAGGAGGTCGTTTTTAAAGTTGATGCTTGCATAAAAGTTGTGTGAAGGACATTATTGGTTATCTTCTCTGAAATATGTATATAATATAATATTTCATATAATATAATATAATATTTATAATATTATATTTTAATATTTTTGATATAATATATATATTTTATAATATTTATATAATATTTTTTGATATAATGAAATTTAATATATTTCATTCGATGAAAATATTGCCAGAACTTAAAAAATTTAGGTTGTTCCCTTGTAGCACACAGAGCTGCTTCAACAGTCAGAGTACCAACAGTGTGGTCAGCATCAATGATGTTCAACAAAGCAATCACAGAACGGTCAGTGTGATGCGATTCGAAGTAGTCGTTTGGGAAGGGCGTGGTTAACGAGAGTCTCAGTTCGGTCGTTTTTAAAATCAGTATAAAAGTCGCCTTTTTTCCAGCTGCGATCGTATTGGAGTGTGATGTCAGGCCGCGGTAAAGGTGGCAAAGGTCTTGGTAAGGGAGGCGCTAAGCGTCATCGTAAAGTTCTTCGAGATAATATCCAAGGTATAACGAAGCCTGCCATACGTCGACTTGCGCGTCGTGGTGGTGTTAAACGAATTTCTGGTTTAATCTATGAAGAAACCCGTGGTGTGCTGAAAGTATTCCTTGAAAATGTTATCCGTGATGCTGTTACATATTGTGAACATGCGAAGAGGAAAACCGTCACTGCTATGGACGTCGTCTATGCATTAAAACGTCAGGGCCGTACGCTTTACGGTTTTGGTGGTTAAACTTGCTGCTATTTCACGGTTTTTTGTTCCAGACGGCCCTCTTCAGGGCCATTAATTCAATATGAATCCAATCTTTATTTCATTGCCAATTTCCAGTTTGTTTTTTTAAATTAATTTTTTGTATCGTTTTGAATAAATTCATTTGTTTATTTGCTTTCCTGCGTTACATAAAAAGCTAAATTGATTCGGATTCGGTGGTCTATTTTAATCAACCGAATTTAATGCATATGTTGGATCGGGAGGCTTAGGAACTCTATTCTCCAGTAGAAAGGGGGAGGAATGGAACCAAATCAGCAGTAATGTGGAGTGCTAAGAGATGGTCGAGAGAGCTTGCGAAATACATTGTCATCGTAAACTTATTGGGCGCGACTCCCTATTTGCTGGGTTGCCATTAGGATTCGTCTGAGATCGAATTTATAAGACCGATGGTTTTTCTCGGCTTTTTTTATTTTAGCTGTTTGTGGTACTACGAGTAGTTCACACAATTGCCAGTTCGATCATTTCTCCGGAGAGTCACTCTAAGTTAAAAGGACAAGTGAGTGCGGATTTCCTTTTAATGGCGAGCTCACCATCTTTTATTCAAGGCGCAACAATCAGACCAACGACGGTTTAAGCCTAACAGAGGCGACATGCCACTTGCTGTTCCCCCCTCTCCTGTTCACAAGTTTATATGTTACCAATGAAAGAGATCATGCGATGTTTAATGCTTAGCATGCACCGTTTTATTGTAAGCTGTTGTAACACAGAAATTAACACAGGAACTCTTCTTTAATCCAACGTTTGACCGTCGTATTTCTACAAATTCACGTCGGCTGGTTTAGTCGATCATTGGTCCAATTGTACTGCATCAGTGGCAATTATCGTTTGAATTTCACTACTTTATTAATATTTTTATTACTATTACTGTTATCTGCAAAAACGGTTAAACGGTTATTTTTAAAAATTTATCCGATTATGTGTCGGAATTTCAAGCTTTGACTACAATGTTCTTCGGACCGCTGATAGACTTTCATTTCCTCCGCTGCGGCAGCTTTGACAAAGAGAAACACTTTTCAAAAAAGGAGGACCCCTTCCAGCAATTTGCTTATTCCGACTTTGATGCAGTAAAATAAATAAATGAGATAAATTCACTTCTGCGGCTTTCAAAAAATTCTGTTCAATTTAATCGTATTTATTGCGAATAAAAATTTGTAATTTTTTTTGAAATTCTCAGTTAAATTTATCATTTTTGAATGTAACCGACGCAAAGCGGTGGTAATTGCTTAAGGCGAAATGCTATATCCATCAATATTAATAATGCGAATTTTATTCTTTTCAGTGCATTCATAGAATTTGCAAATAACAAAAATCATTTTAAAAATCAATGTTGGCAGTGAATTATTTAATCAAAGATAAACTTTTAAAAAGTATTTTAAACACACAGAAATATTGTAATTTCTCTACGATTACTCGTTTCATTTTCATTTACAACAAAAAAAAAGCAACAAAGAACAATGAGGAAGAGAAAAAAAAAGAAAGGATCGCATTGAAAAACTTTTTATAAGATTAGTATAAATCGCTGCTTCAGAATCGGTTAACACCAATCTACAACATTACAACATTGATTTTCTGTCCTTTAGAATAAATGTTTAGGGTCTACGTGCAAAATTCTCAAATCCAAAGGGCCATTATACAACGGTTTGCCTGAAAATTATGGCAAATTAAAAAAAGAACTATCGTCATCATGGATAATATTTCTTAAAAGTTTTTCAAAGAATTTGATAAGACTAACCATTTTTCAATAAATCCATTTGTTCGTGAGTTAACCAGTGAGAAAAGATGCACTGATTTAATCGATCATCCATAAGCATATCGCAAAATAAATCCACAATATTGCCATCTCGTTCAAATTCAGGAGCAAGAAAATCATCTAAAATAAGAAACAAATTTTGTAGAACAATTAATATTCTAAAACAAATTAATTAGCTAATTAATACAATAATGTTATATTTATTACAATATATACTTTAAAACGAAATTTCATATAGTTACTATCCTCAAATATTTTTTAATTACAGAAAATTTCAAATTTCGTAATATTTTCAACTGAATATTGCGACTGCTTTTTTCGACCTCGACATTAATAAATAATTAATTTCCTTGTGCTTCCATTAACAATGAAAATAAAGATTACCAAAAATCTATAAAAATTTGTTAGAAACAAACCAGAATCGTCCGAGAAGGTAACGGTATCCACTGGTGCATCTGGATCGATTCGATTAAATTGCTCTTCAGAACTTTCTTTTTTAACGTCACTTTCACATTTTTTTGATAGATAATCGACCTTGAAAAATTAAAAAAGGATGGAGGAGATGGAAAAATCAATGCGATCTAGTGAAAATTTCGAAATATTGTATAAATGGAATGAATTCATAAAATTAAGTTTCAATTTAATATTTTAATAACTAAAATAGGCTCAGCTAGCGATGAAAGTTCTAAAAGGAATTTAGCCGAAATTTAATGAATAAAAAAAGAAATAAAAAATTACCGTTTCATCTTTTTCTTCGAAAACTTCAAAATCATTTTTAATTTTCTTTATAATATTTGTATTTTTGCAGTTCGTTGACCTGCTGGGAGTCACAAAAGCATTTTTCATGTCGCCAAATGCTCGACGTGGCGTTGACAAAACTGAAGAGTCTATGTTTGTTCTCCAGAAATTAAAAAAAAACATATTAATAAATTTATTAATATTAATTTTCGTTATATATCTTCCAAAGACTGAAAAATTTGAATAATTAACCAAAATTAAATAAAAAATAAATTTAAAAATTCTAAAAAAATTAGAAAAAACCTACCAATTTTATTTCTTTCATCAATTGGTGCATTTTCGTTTAAATTATTTGAAACTGATTCCGACATTTCCAAAATAAAAAAATTTCTAAAATAAGAAGTTAAAAATTTTTTCAGAAAGTCGGAAATTTTCTTTCCTGCAACAAAAGATATTACAGTGAAAAAAAATAAATTCGAAATCAAGCTAATAATAAGAATATAAAAATTTTAGCGGAACAAATATGAGTAAAAGAAATTTCAATAATAATAAATAATCTAATGATAACAGTGATAAATATTTTTAGTAACTTTAGAGCAAGCCCAAGAATTTTAAAAAAAAAGGCCCGCTAAAATAGTAATTTTAACCATTTCAACGCAAAAAAAAGAAGAAATCTTAAAGACAAGCAGAGAATTACTGAATTACTTTTAACTATAAGAAAAAAAACCAAAAGTATAAACGGAAAAATAAATAAGATAAACGTATATATCTGGATCAAAATCACACAAAAATATTTTCCAGTGCTAAGGCTCCACTCCCAGTAGGAGCTTTCGAAAATCCGAAAAATGTCCATCTTTTAAAATCTGGTGACGCTCGCAGAGCACCTTTTTTTAATTCTCCAAGTGACAAAATCTGGCAAAATCTTTTCGAAACTAGTCGGAAATGGAACACGTTCTCCACGTACCCTACGTACCCTAAAATCCCCTTAAACCCCGTTGTATTCCACTACCACCTCACCAGTTCACTCCATAAACCCCTGACTCTACGCCCTGAAACCCCCTCGAACCCCGGAGTGAGGGGTTTATAGAGTGAACTGGTAAGGTGGTAGTGAAATACAACGGGGTTTGAGGGGTTTGTACAAAATTAAAACATAAAGAGACAAATAAAAAATGAGAAAAGGAATTCAAATTTCTTGTATTTGAGCCAATTTTTAAATTTTTGGGAAATAGGAATTTAACAGCTATATATATCAAGCAAATACGGTCGTCCATTGGTATGGATTAGCTTAGGTCATAGGTCATTTGCAAATCCGCGAGGAATTTTCAAAAACAGAAATAAGGGAAGGCTTTTTTTTCTTTCTTTAGTAGTGAATAAATGAATTTACAAAGCAAAAAATCGATATTTGGGAAAAAACTGAAATAAAAATGCAAGAAAAAATAATTATTTATTTTTTAAATAAAAATTAATTTAAAATCGAAGAATTTCTCAAAAATTTTTATTTTTTTTAATTTTTTACGAAAAATTTCATCTGAATTCTCAATTGAATTTTATCTAAATTTATCTAAATTATCTAATTTTGTTTGAAAATAAATTTTTTTAAAATATTTGAAAATAAATAATTTTAAATAAATAATTTTTTAAAAAATAAATAATTTTTTAAAAAAAATATTTCATCAATCCTTTCAAATATTTAAGGGAAACACTTTAAGTGGAATTGTTTGTCTCTCATAATCCTTTGAATAAATTTGAATACGTTCGACTTGTGGTACCACCGTTTTCTTTGCACCACCTCTTTGACTACTAAAGAATTGGCTTAGTTTTTAGAATAGCGCTTAGATTTAAGAGGAAGGTGCACCATCTTTAGTTCGCGAAAATGATAATTCGTTGATAAAGTGAAATTTTTTATCATCTGATATCGCTGCCACAGTTGAACAAATAAAATATTGAAAAGAATCCACATTCTGCGCTCTTTTCTCATTTTCTCATTTGTTTATAATATCGAAAATTCTTTTAAAAATATGATATAACCGATTTAAATTAATTACTATTTAAATTATTAATTATAACAGATCTTTCCCCTTTCGCTGAAAATCGTAAATTTTCCCTATAGGCGAACTTATCTTATCTTATCAGAAGTACTATTTATTATCGAAATAAAGATTATCAACTGTGAAGAGAGAGTGCGAATTTCGTTCAGCTCACAGGTGGTTTCAACATTTAGGGGCCCTAATTAAGACTTTGGTGAAGAAAGGTTTTGCACTGAATGATATTGGCTAAGATGGAATTGAATTCTCTTATATTAATTGAATTTACTTTCGTGGCTTTGGTCTGAATTATTTTAAAAAGCTTCACCCCTGCAGCCACTGATAGTTATGCAAGCAACCAATAAATGGTGCATTCTTCTATTAGCACAAATTTTTCTCAATGGAATGGTTAAATCTTATAAAATTCTCAAATAATATTGAATTTATTCAATAAAATCACTGAACAGCTATATAAACAGCTAAAAATTTAAAGAGTGAATGCTTAACGAAGCTTTGGCTAAATATTTCAAATATAATCAAATCAACTCACTTCCTATTGATATTATCAGTTATTTTCCTCTCTAAGCATGACGTGTACTTATCATTTTATCACTGAAAGTTATGCAAGCAACCAATATTGTCATGGTATATGGCAAAATTAAATCAGAGAAAGAGAGGGTAAATTATATATTATTGAGTTATTTCGTTTAGTTTAAACTTTTAAATAATTGTCGTTTAAGAGACAAATTCATCAGTGTCAACGAATTCGCTAAACTGGTCAAATCAAATTTTCTTGTTTCCTTTGAATTTCATTTGCTGTGCTCCGATTCCGAATAAAAAATATAAACAATGAAAAGTGGCTAGCGGTCACCATTTCTGATTAAGTTGACCCCGTTAGCTCCAAAATTTTTGCTAGAAAGTCGCTTTGTGATAAGATGAATACGAATGAGTCGCCAGTATTCGCATTCTGACAATCTCACCAGGATCAGAAAAGCGAACCTTTGTTGCTCGGTGCAGGGCGAATCATATCATCTGACAATACTTGTTCTTATGATTATTGGTAAATTATTAACAGTAATTTCTAATACTGTTCATTTGGCTTCGACTTTGCTATTGGTTTTCGGCTTCGAACCAAAAATTACAAACGAAGGCCGAAAGTTTTGAACAATACGAAGCAATTTTAATTATTCATTAATTTCTCTTAGTACTTATAAAAAATAAATGTAAAAAGATGCGTAATTAATAAATTTCAAATTGTCAGTCAATTTTAATAAGAAATATAAAGGACTGAAGATTTGGACAATTGTCTTACACGCATGTTTTATAAGAACTTGGAATTCTCGTTATATAACATTATAAGCAACAGGTAGTATTAAGTTTCCATCAATTCTGATTAGACTTATCTCACGGGAAGTAAGATAAAGTAATTTTGTTAGGCAGTCATTTGGCGGCAGAAGTACCAGGAAAACATCCAGTCTCCCACATTGCTAAGAGTTTCGGTGTACTCAAGATAGCTGAACTGGCATGGCCTTCTTTCTCAACGTAATAGAATATAATCTGCAAAGTTTTCAGTGGATGGTGAGACTACTCACTCAACAAGTAAGATTCGCTCTCAAGATAAATCGCTGATGTGAATTCAAATGAAATTTATTTCATGGCTATTCTATTCGATCCGTAATTTTAAAATCATTCTGGTAATTTCAGAATTTATTCCAAGATTATTTTGCTTGATCATTTTGCATATGCTCATGTGTTTTAAAGATTCATCGAATATCAAAAATAGTAGTGAAAATATTCCTTTGGCTTTAAAAAAGCGAATAGCATGGGAATTTTCTGGTTCAATAATCGTCGAAGAAAGTGGCTGACAAAAACGCGGAACTTTTTGATGATTTAGCTGTTCGTGAATGATTCAGTTATTAAAGATAGTTCATTAAATTATTATTAAATTAGTGGAATCAAAACACAATTCGATATCCAGCTGGCCAAGAGTATTGAGGATCGCCTCATAAGATGGAAGGAATTCTTTGAGGCGAAACCATGGTGCGCCATTTGTTCACCTGGATATAGCTGACACGTTCTCCGAACTATACGATTGCAACTGCCAGCAGAAGAAGAAATAATCTATGTAATCCATAAGCTTAAGATCAACAAAACTTACCTTCAAAAAATATAGTCTCTGGTATGGAAGAACGAAAAATTATCAGAAGACTGGAGCAAAGCAATTTTACTTCCAATTCTTAAGAAATGTGACAGGATGTACTGCAACAATTGCCGAGGAATCAGTCTACTGGACATCTCGGGAAAAATTTTCGTTTCCCTTCTGCTAAATAGATTCATGCAACACGAGATAGCAGAATGTGTCCTAACCAAGCTGGATTCAGACCGGGCGGTTGTGCTGACCAGATATTCACGTTAAGAAGAGTGTTGCTACAGATATTTGCAACTCACTATCATGTGTTTCATCGTCATTGTGGCTACCTTTGATTCAATTAATAGAATATCGCTTTGTAGGATGATGGAATGCGACGGTGTTCCAGAGAAAATCATTAGATTCATAAAGACATTTTATAAGCGCACATCGGCGCAAGTCTGTTTATATGGGGAGCTGACAGATTCCTTCGAAATAAGAACAGATGTCCGTCAGAGCTGGACACTTCTTGTCGGCACTCAAGAGGTGTCCGAATTAGTCCAGAGCATCGTATCACAGATCTTGAATACGCTGATGAAGTAGTCCTTTTTGCTGACAGTTATAACGAAATGAAAGTAATACTAAATAACGTGTCAGAAAATGCAGCAAGAATCGGACTCAGGATCGATGTAAATATAACGAAAGTCTTACAAGAACCTTATAAAATCTTATAAATATCTTATAACCTTATAAATTTAAATTTCAATCAAAAGAAATTTTAAATATCAAATTTTAAATATCTTGGATCCACTCTAATCCAAAATTCGTTCGATCTTATTATATGGTTGCGAGACAAAGAGAATGGAAGATATTAAGAAGTTTCTGCCTTTGACCACTCTTGTCTGAGGTACATTTTACATCCATTGAGCGAAATGTCACATCACATGACTGCATTCATCTTTGTTCAAATACCACTTGCATTAATATTATCACAGAGCGTCGCCTTTGCTGCTTAGGACACGTTCTCCGTCGTCCAACACAGGAATTGACGCATATTTTTTTACTTGCAAAACCATGTGATGGATGGATGGGAAAAGTGAGGTGGGCCAATTAAGACCTGGACTGATACGGTCAGAAAAGATTTTGAACATACAGGTGGACCAGCAATATATGGACTTAGGGGATGGAAAAAGGAATGGCTTCTACTACCGTCGACGGCAACATCAGATCACACAACTTGGAAGCGCTTTAGCCAGTGACCAGTGAACCAGCCTAAACTGTAATGGTGAGAACAGCTAGAAGAAGAAAAAGAAAAATCCAGCTGACCAAAATATGTGGCAATAAGCGTGGTGTGTGAACAAAGAAAGAGAAATGTTATTGCTAAATTTGCAAAAGTCAGAAGGCATAACTAACATCTAAAAATCTGTAAATATTTTTGCTCTGGAAATTAAAAGGGTTTTTTATTTTATTTTAAATATTTAGACTCTATTTATTCTAATGTGGCCTATTCAATATTGAAATCATAAAATTTTAGTCCTCAAAAAAAATGCTTCGATGCATCTTTGGCCGATGGGCTAAATCGACCTTTAAGTGAACAAACCCCTAATAATTTCTTAGTTTGCTTACCAATAAAATTACAGATTTTTTGCAGTAGTGCAAGCAAAAACTACAAGTCTCAAACGATTTCATATGGGAGCCAAGCTGTCATTAAAACCGTTGTTAAGGACTTGTCTACACCATTATCCATAATTTCCTTTATTTATTATATTCAGTACTTACTAGTATAGTTCCTAATTTTTTTTTAGAACTTTTGCAAAATTAACTTTTTTTTATTTATTAAATTTACTAATTTATCATTACTTACTATTTATTTAAGATCATTATTTTATGAATTTTATGACATTTTACAAGATCTATTTAATATATTTCTAAGTGATGTGAATCAGTGAATCAGTAAGTGGCTTTTTCGAAATGGTTTTAAAGACGTGTCGCATTCTTTACGAATTCTCTAAAAATTTCAAATTTAGAGAATTTATTTTTCAAGATTGATTTGATAAGTCTTTCTGGATTCATTATCCATTGGATAATAATAAAATTGCTAATTATTTTTTTAATAATTTTTTTTTTAATTTTGCAGAATATTGGTGGAATAATGTTCAAAAGAATTGGTTGCGTTCTTTTGTTTCTCACATCAACACTGATTTTTTCATCGACTGGCTTAGGGCCCGAAGAAGATTACTGTAATATAATTTATTTTCCTTTTTTTTTAATTTTAATTTTAATGAAACTTTTGAAAAAAAAACTTTTTTTGCACTTAACTTAATAGACCAATCGAATTATTAAAGACAGGTAATAGATGCGAAGAATGCTTATTTAGTTAGAATTCTATAAGATAAATAATTTTACGAAAAAACTACGAAAGAATTTTTAGTACATCTTTGCCAAGAAGCAAACGAAACATTTTTCTACCCTTATGATTGTCACAAATATGTTAAATGCACGAATTTTCAACCAGAAATATTACAATGTCCCGATGGCGATTATTTTGATCCTCAAACATTTGCATGTGCACCAGAAACAGTTTCATCTGTTGTCGCATGTAACGAACTCCAGGAAACCATATATTCATATCGATCACAAAAACCTAAATCAGCTTAATTTAGATATTAATTATATTAATTAATGTAGAAGAATAATATTTATTTACTGTTAAGTCGTTCTAAGCAATTATTTTATTATTAATATATTGGGAAACTGTGGGAAACTTTTTGTTAATCATTTATTATGAACCGTTTTTTCACGAAACAAAAATAACATTATTTGCATCTTTTGCATTATTTAAAAAGTATTTCATTAAATTTTTATTCAAAATCCAAATTTTTCTAATAGAATAATTATAATTAAATGACTGGAAAATTGGAACCATTAAAAAGTTCAAGAATTTTGATGGAGAACAAAAACGATTGGAAAAAGGTGATCACATTGGCAGCCATAAATCTTCAAAATGATTCAATAAAGAAATTTAATTCACTAAAATTATAATTATAAATAATTAGATTAAATTGTAAATAAATTATAAATAAAATCATAAATAAATTATAAAGATAATATAACAAAACAATTTCACGACAAAATAACAATGACAACAAAAAAAATTGATAGAATTCTCAGTAATAACTTCAATTTTTTTCGATCGCTAGGAAATAAATTGTTATTATTATTATATTATATTTATTATAAATTATTATTGCATTTTTATTATATCATCATAGTATTTATTATCATAATTATCATAATTAATTGTTAATTAATTGTTAATGCAATTTAGTAAATTTTTATTGGGAGCGCCGATGCTGAGATTCGATTCCCCATGGGAGTAAACCTGTACAAAAAAAATCTTAGTGAATTAATTATATTATTTTATATTATTAATAAATTATAATAAATCTAAAAAATTTTGGATAAATTTTTTAACAAAAAAAAATCCAAAAAGATTCTTGCGAAAAAATTTGTGAGAACTATTGAAATCTAAAAAATAAATGGCTTATCGAAATTTGATTATTTTCTTCCAATAGTAAAAGGAATTTTATGTAAGTTAAAATTCGAAATTTTCGACTTTCATATTGGCTTTTTCAATATTGAAATGAATTCTGAAATGAAATGGAAATATACTATCGAAGCAAATCTTCGATAGTGCAAAATTTTTCGCAAAAAAAGTGCCGATACTGAGAAATATTTCTTAGAAAATTTTCCAAATTTCCTCTCTCGAATAAATATTTTTTCTTTTAATTTATTGCAATTATATTTATTGAATATTTGGAAAAAAAAGTTATTTTAAAATGTTAAAGATTATAAAAAAAATTGATAGATCAACTAAATTAATTAATCTTCTTTTCAATTATTATAATTATTATTTAAAGAAAAACGATTCGAAAAGAGCATTACTTATTTGCCAGAAATCCAGTCAGACATCTTAATGGACAATTATTGTTATAAAGTGAATGTAAAAAGTTCGGGCCGACTAGCGTCCAGTTTCAGTTGCCCTACACAAACAAATAAAATCTCAAAATTTGTCATTTTAACTCAAACAACATGCTGCCATTTTATAGAATTGCCCTCACATTTTTCATCGCAGGTTGGGTTTTCTATATTAATTAGTTTTAATTTCGGTGTAAATTTTAATTTTAATTTAATTTTGGCGTGATTATGACATTAAAATCTGATTCATTTAATAAAATTAACTGCTTAGTGAACAGATTCGAAATCTATTTCAGACTTTTATCCAATGATTGGCACTATCATAGTTCCCATAACTTTTCGTCATTTATTGGTTATGAATTAAATTTTAATTCAACAGATCAGTTTTATTTGAAAAAGTCTGCTTCTGAATTACTGAGGCTCTTTGTGTCGGTTATAAGAGTTATTATAAATTTTGCGTAGAGAATCATAACATTGAGTAGCCAGCATTATCGTGTAGAGAGCAATAGCAGAATTCACTGTTTCAATAATTTGAGCCTTATCCACTCCAGCCTACAGTAATTTACTGTTATATGTTATAATTCCAGAAAGGAATGAAATCAGGGACTCAAATTAGGAAATCTGGGTTCGTAGCACTGAAAATTTCTGATATCTTTCGGAGCTATTACATTTTACATAGAGCCTCAAACCACATTGAAGACTGATGTGATGTGTGCTATTATTTTACCAGTAGTCGGTTCTCTTAAACCCTTTTCGGCCATATCATATCACTACAAATTCACTACAAAATTATACTCGTAAATAATGATGCGGAACTCGAGAAAGTTGCGGTGAATGTTCATCGATAAACGTTTTGGTTCCATCTGGTCGAAACAATTTTGTACTTCAACAATATTTAAATATTTTGATAAAATAGATATTAAAAAGTCACTTAAAAAGTAACACTTTTTAATATTTGTAATGATTGAATTTTCTAAGTTTTTCAATATGAAATTCACTAAATAAATTGTGCAAAATTTGGAAACAACATAAAAATATACAATTTTTAAGTAAAAATCAATTTATCTGCTAATGTAAATAATGAAAATAATGGTGCCGAGGTCCCAGAATATTGGCGAATTGGCTTAGGCGATATCTGCCAGTATCCATCAGTACATAGAGCAACTGATGATGCAACGCGATACGTTGAATGTGTTAAAATTGATAGCGACGCAAATAACAGGTTAGTTCCATTTTGCATCAAAGAATATTTGTACATCATTTCTAACTTTTTTGCCTTTAAATGATGAGATAAGATGAGAAATACTAAGAAGTACCAATTATTATATTTAAAATATTTAAATCACAGAATAGATTTGGGTATTTGGATGCTTAAACAATGCCCGAAGGGATATAATTTTTTTGCACCGATTCAACGATGCGAGACAATCGAGCTTATAGCGAAGAGACAAATTCTTTGTGATGGACCAAATGCTTCTAAATTTATTTTTTGCCCATCAAATAATGATAAAAAGGTGAATGAGACAACTTCGATATAAACTGAACGTTAATTTCAGAATCTCAGGAATTTCTCACCAACTATTTACATACAGTTGTAAGAAATATTTCTATTTATTCCAGAAAAAAAGAAATTCAAAAATTTAGTTTGTCGTTCATGAAACTCAAGTAAATCCAAAACAGTGCAAAGAATGTGAAAACATTAACTCAAGCGATTGTCAATGTCCAACTAGCAATATTTTTGAGTTAGTATGGATCAATCGGGTGAAGAAATCCGCACATCAGTATACAAATGATATGGCAACAATGATCTGCACTGTCTGCCCGTCGACATCAACGAAGTGCATTTGCCCAGTAAAATTATTTTAAAATTTCAATTAATTGGCGATAAAATTCCTTATGAAAATTTTTTGAACAGTTAGTTTCGTTTAATAAATCGAAATATTCGATTATTGCAATGTAAAAAATAAGATAAATGAATTCGATTTTAAATAATTCTTTATTGTTCAAGTAAATCGTACCAATCGAAGAAAAAATTAAGCAATTTTTTCTATATCAGCAGCAATCAGTTCGTCAGCCAAAGCCTAATGAAGAGCAATTCATTCAAACACCTTTTGCATCAGTAGTTAAAAATTATGAAACAACTCAGCAATCTACTTATCAAACCGATCAGTTCCTCATTGCTCAGCCTCAAAGTTGTCCTTTAGGTTAGTTATTCACCCTTTTAAATTTACAACAGTCAAAATTCACTCTTACTATTTTAAAATGCTATATCCATAGAAATTCGAAATGAACTGGTCGCCTCTTTTGCGAAGCCTGTTCGGATGTCCTTGCATCGATTGGACTGTACTCCGAATTTTCCACCAGTTGCTGGGTTTGCTCTTCTTCAAAAATATATATCGAAATAAAAAATTCAAGAAGCACTAACCTAAATAGCTTTTTAGTACAAGGAAACGCAATTCAAAATGCAATATACCAAGGAATTTGTTCATGGATGACTGATCCACTTGCTCTTGATCCTGAAAGTAGAACACATTTTCTACAATGTCAGCCTGCACCCAATAGTCTTTTCTGCGGTAGATGGCAAAGAATGCCGTGTGCACCAGGGACAGTTTTCGATGTTAATGTTCAAATATGCATTTGGGGCTCAAGTATGATGCTCGGCTTACATAAATTTTACGTTTAAATATTTTTTAAATATTTTAAAATCATGGATTCCTAATAATTTATCATTTTTCAAATTGTTGTTGCCTTTTAATAAAAAAATCTTTGTTGTTGTTATTTAATTTCATTAAATTTATTAACTTTGAATTATTTAATTGTGAAGATTATTTAATTTTTTTTGCCCGATCTTCAGTCCACATAAAATCTAATTTGGAATTACTGCAGGTAATGGTATTCCGGGCCTGATACCACCATCTTCTATTTCAGTTCAAGCGGCAACTTATTTACCATTTCTTCCCAATACTCAACTACCAGTACTGGGTAACATAAACTCGAGTCAAGTAAATCAAAATATGCAATTTATAGAGCCTCAATGCAGCAACGATGGTGTTTATCTCGGGCGCTGTAGCTCGAATTACCAATGCCCAGGGCAATCAAATTGCCTGATAAACGACGAGCGTGGAAACCCGGTAAATTTGACTTCAATATTGCTTTTTTGCTATTGATAAATAAAAAAATTATTACCTCAAGAAGATTTTACCTCTTATTACTCAAAGTAACTAGCTTTTTGTACGCATTTTATCTTATTTTAACGAAACAAAATTTCTTCTATTTGGCTTTTTTTTTTAATCATATCAGTTAGCCATTTAAATTTTGGCTGTCTTAGAGGAAAATTTTTGAACATATTTCAGTTTAAGATGTGTTGCTACATTCCGAAGTAATAGAACCACTACGATAATCTAATTGTTGAATTCAGTATGAAATAAAATTTTCATCAACTCTATTCTTTCTCTTTATAACATAACATGATGAAATGAATTATTTTGAATATTTTAACATAATAATTAAATATTTGTGAAATAATTTAATATTTGAAATTTAGCTGCAATTGTGCAATTAAAAAAATTTTTTAAATTTTTTTATTTTTAAATTAATGAAAATAAAGGGAATTCTTTATTTATTTGTTTGTTTAGGAAATGAAGCAGGGCGAATGCCACCCAATTGTTTCGTTTTTAACAATAAATATTATTTATTATTATTGTATATAATGAAGTAAAATAGGGAAAACTGAAAATTTAACACTAATCAAAATAAACTAAGGACAAATGCATACAAATACCAAAAAATATTTTGGATAATTCATTGTTCAGTTGACCTTTAAAATTGGAGAATGATATTGCGAAAATTATTACAAATATGAACAGTTTATTGCAATAATTAATGCTTCTTCTAACTTAAAATTGTTGGCAAAGATTGTTGCTGCATTTCAAACAATAGGAAAGGAAAATATAAAACCAAACATGGATAAATTAAATTTCTAATGGAATAGTTGGAATTTTAGACGAAACGATCCCTAAAAAACTCCTTGGAATGATTATCCAAAAGCAAATTGTTCTCATCTCAAGGAAAAGCTTTCTGTTTCACCCATAGCATTCGGCAAAAAAAATGAAAATGAAGCAATAAACGTGTCGCGTTTCTTCAGCGAAAGGCAAATGTGAACGGAAAATAAGCAAAAAATGGCGAATTGCAGTATTTTAAACAATTTTAATAAACTGCAGAAAAAGCTAATTTATTTCGTAATTGATCGAAATCGACTGAGCCACGACCCACTTTTTTTTTTCCCCGTGTAGCCAGTGGTTAAACGAGGTAATTTACTTTTTGTGCATACAGCCATGACAGTTGAACGTTCTTCAGTACCGTTTTTTTTACCACTTTTTTCAGTTATACTACTGAAGATGGGCGATTGATCGCGTTGATGATTTTCCGTGGCGATTTCCTATTTCGAAAATAATTAAGAAAATCGGAAATTAAATTATTATTACTATTATTATTACTACAGTTTTATTTAATTTTCATGCCATTTATTTTTATCAATTAATAATTTGTAACTTATTTAGGTAAATAAGTAAATAAATACTTAATTTATGTTATCATTTCTATTTTCTATTTTTCTTTTGTCGCAATTTCGCTTTATTTTATCAAATTCTCCTCAGAAAATATTCGAATACAAAATTAAATTAAGAATTGAACCTTAGGAATTCTATGTTCGCAAAAATACTTTACGATGAAAATTTGATTATATAGGATAACAATAATAATAAATAATGATAATAATAATGCAAAAATTCACCGTATAGTGAATTAATCCCTTATTGGCTTGTGTAAAAGGCATTAAACCATTTGATTCTCTCAAACTTGGAATTAACTGAGGAGATCCTATCATTGGTACTACTGTTCTTCTTTTGTCAGAGCAAAGATTTTGTTTTTGACCATATTTATTCGCGACAAAAGATGGCGGTGATAAGGCATCAAATCGGGATGGAAAATCGTATTTCGTAATTTCACGAATCGCTGAACAAAAATTTTTCGCTAAATTAACAAATTTTGCAGAATAGATTGAATTATAAGAGCGAGACAAATTAAAATATTTTGGAGTCTCTTAAATGCACATTTTTTTTTCATCAATCCAACCTTTCCTATGAAATTATAATCGAATGAGATAATAAATTCCATTTAGCAAATATTAAGGAATTTTCCTCATCTCAAATTAATGTAGAATTGCTAATTTTAATTCGCCCATTTCCATCAAAAATAATAGAAACATTGTTTCGTTACAAATTTCGTTGATAAAAAGGATAAAATTTAAATTTTTATGTGCAATATTTACATGAAATATTTACATAAAAATGAATATTTCATTTATCAACAATGAGAAATTCGCTTTAATTGTTTGCTGGAAAAATAAAAAGATGCTAACCTGGATGTTTGCAAAGATTCTGCTGCTGATTTATTGTTGAATTCTTACGTTTTGATGCGATTGGCGTTGATGGTGCACTGCGAAATGAATTCTGGTGATTTACGTCTTGTAATGATGAGATTATCGTCTTCACGTTATTCCCATGCGTTAATCGGTGCAAACTAAACGTAATTTTCAGAATTTAGCTGAATTTTAAATTATATATAAAAAAAGTTAATAAGTTGGACAATTAAAAAGTGTATAATTGAATGAATTATAAAAATTTTTCGAGAAAAATTTTCCTTTTTTGAAATCGCAAAATTGCAGTAGTACTTAATTTTGAGTTTTTAGTACTTTAGTATTTTAAGAATCTAATATTTTGAGTTTACATATATTCTTATGATTTTTTGAAATTTCTTCTCCATTTTTCATTTTCTTTTTTAAATAAGGAATGAAGAATAAATCTGAAAGCTTCGGCAAACAATTAGTTTAATTTTGCTATAGAAATATGAAAAAAATTTATTTGAGCAAGTTATTTGTTTATCAGAAAACGATAAATTTTATTTTTTCGTTACAATTTTATTTCGATTGAGTTTATTTTCAGTCCCTTTGAATTTCTGATCTTCGAATTTTTTTCACAATTTTTTGGAACGAAAAACTGTAAGCATACGATAAATATTTTAGTAGAAACTATAATAGATGTCAAATATAATAATAAATACTTGAAGACTGGTGATACAGTTGCTTCCTTTTTTTCATTTCGTTTTTCAAGATTTTCAATAAATTTTCGTATATTTCCAGTTCTTTCCGAACGATCTTTTTCTTCAACAAGGCTGCAGCAATTTTCCAGATTTGATATTTGATTGATATTTTTAAAATTTTTTTTGAATTGTCCAATTTATTTTTACAAATGCACGAAAAGTCGAAATACACGAAGAAAAAAATTTCGAAAACTAGCAACTCTTTTTTGTAAATCATTTTAGAAAGGTTTTAGTCGTTGTAAAAATATATATATATATATTAAATAAAAATGAAAGAAAAATAATATCAGTGGCAATAAATTCAGCAAATTAAAAATGGAATACCTTATAGGTCGTCGTAACGTATGTTGCAATTTACTTCCTCTATTTACTATAGGAGTTTCATTGATTTTCGTTTTATATTCGTAGCTTCGCAAATCTGAATTGATCATTTTAATATGATAAGAATTGTTCAATTAAATGAGTACTTTGGTAATTTCAGTCCAGTGAAATTTCAGTTAATACCTTGTCCTGGTGTGGTTCTTTCAACAATGACGCTATCAATTGGCAAATCAATGTCATCTCTTGCTTCGTCCCGTATTTTTGATAAATCTTTAATTTTTATACTATATTATTTTATATTATTTCTCATTTTTTATATTAAAGATCAAATCTGAAGCCTATGAATCTTCTAATTTTTCATTGATTTCTTAGCTTTTGATTTTCCTCAAATTTTCTCGAAAATGGAGCAGTCACCATCTTATCGTAATTGGCAATACACTTTACGCATTCTCTTTATAATTAAACGACAAATTAAAAAACAAAACTTTTTTTATTATTCCTTTGTGGCATTCGCAAAAATTTTACTGAAAATTTGGCATTTAAAATATATCAAAATTTGCCCATTATCAATACATATTGAATATTATTCATTCATTTAACCAAAATATCTAATTAGACCATTCTTTTCTAATGGCTCTGTTTGGTTTTGCCAGCTTCACTATAGCTATAAGGTTCCTTTATGTAGATAGCACTTGGAAATAGAAATACAAATGGGTCTGCAGAATCGTCAAATCTATATTCTGGGAAAAAAAATAACTAGTTTTTTCACTGGCATTTTTTGGCAAAAAAAATTTTTTACTAAAGATATCATACATTTTGCATAGTCAAATATACGAAGAAATTCCGTTTCAATTGACTCTTCGTTCTTTTCGGTTTCTAAATCGATATTTATCGAATCCGATCGTTTTAATTTTTTCAACCGAGATGCGTGAAGTTTAAATGGTAGCAGAAAACTGAGTTCTGGTTTTACCTGAGGTTTAATTAAATGTTTTCTATTTTAATTTAAATTAGACTGCCTGAAAATCAAGCTAAAAGATTTGAAGGAAAATAAAAAAAATCGAAACTTACCAGTCTATCAAAATAGTCTTCGCCATGATATGACACTGGTCTTATTCGCTTATGTTGAGCCACATTTTTTAGTAAAAGTTTTAGTCGTTCAACCTAGAATTTAAGAATTCTAAAATTAACAAAATAAAATGAAACAATAGCAGACAATTGATTTTTAAAAATATTCATACGGGCATTCTTCATACTTTTTGAACCGTTTCTGTGGAAGTGTTATTTATTATTGAATATACTAAACTGGAAAATTCACCTGGGCATAAGTTACCAAAAGCGATGATTGAACATGCATCAGTTCCAGATCTAACTGCCCTGCATAGGCCACTTTCTCTAAATACGCTGTCCGCATCTGGCCTAACTAAAAATAATAAAGCCATAATAAAAATAAGGCTACTGAAAACGAAACGAATATGGAGCTCAATAAAAATTCTATAACAAAAAACGTAACTGTTACTATTATATAAATTAATTATAATTACAATCATAATAATCATTAATATCAAAATTAAATGAATATTTCAGTGGGTTTTCGAAATTTGCGCAGTATTACAGCGAAATTACCTTACGTAAAACACCCATAGTAAATGAATATAAAGCATCATAAGAAGACATGAAATCTAGAAAATGTTGAATTTGATCACTTTGATCACTTTGATTTCCTCGCTCTGCAAATAGTCAAAAAAGTTTTATGAAAAGTTTTATTTTTATGAAAAATGGATTTATAATAGATAGAATTTATTAAATTGGTGGCCGAGTTATATTTAATTTGGCTTATAAAAAGGAAATTACCACTGTTTTTTAAATGCAATAAAGATAGATTTTCTCGTTGAAGCCTTTCAATTTGTTCCAAATACGACTGTGAATTGTTTTGTTCTCGAAGTGATAATGCGATAGCCTTAAGCCCAAAAATTATTATGTGAAATTTGCCAAGTTTTTTACAATATTTTATTTTAGCATCCATCGAAATGAAATGCATTTGATTTCAAAAAAGTATTAGTTTGTAAGTAATTATAATAATTAGTAATTATAATAATTAGTTTGTAATATTATTTTTATATTTAATATTTTTTGCATTTCCTTTCTATAGTTTGTAATTATTTTTTTGAAATTTATTTTTTCATCAAATTTATCATTATTTTACTCAATTTTGAAAAAATTCATCGGAAACAATTGGAAAATGACTAACAGCTTGTTGACTTTTGATATTTTCTGATTTTACTAATTGCAAATTGTCTTCGAAGTTTCGTAATCCCTTTTCAATTTTGTCTATGATGGCCAATGGCTCTTTGACTGCTCGTTCGCTTAGTGTCAAACGCTCCAACGCTTCATTGAGTTGACATCGCTTGCTTAGTGCATCTATCTGACATTTTTAAATTAAATTGTCGCCATCAATTTAAAAAATTTTTGTCTAATAATTCCACGCTTGATTTGATTGAATTTTGCAATGAAATCATTATTAAAGGCCATCATTTATTAGTTTTTAATTTAATTCCATTTACCTGTTTATACAGCGAATTCATATGCGATGTTAGTTTAGAATACTCCATAGATTTCTGTCGAAGTTGATCAATAAGACAACTATTGCGGTATTTGAACATTTCGAGTTCACTTCGAATCGATGAGTCTTCATTGGATTGGGCTTTGTGGCAATAGCTCAGATTCCACGCATTATTGGGTGCTTTAAAAGGATTTTGGGAATAAATGATCTTAAAAAGACATTTAATGTATATTTATTCAACATTATTCAATTAATGTATTACAGTGGCGCAGCTTCGAAAACGGTCGAGATGCCTTTGATTGCTGAGGCCCAACAAGAAAAGTTGACCATTCTCTTTTCCCATCTGAACTTCCGCGAAGTGAACATTCTTCATACTCTTCATCATCACTTCTATCCATAATCATTTTTGTTGGTCTATTTCGCTAAAAAATTGTAGAAACAACAATTGAAGCAAAATTTATTTTTATTTGTCCGAAAAATGGGCGCATTAATATGAAAAATATAGAAGAGTCGATTGATAAAATTATTTAAATTTCTAAAAGTGTACATTTTTAAATTTCTGATAATGATTCTTGGGAGTTTGAAGCCACGACTTTTGATTATTTATAATCTTTGGCTCGGAAATGGCTGTTTTCTTGGTATTTGTCGTTGCTGTGCATTTTTTTTCATCTAAATGGGCTAAAAATTTCATTAAATTCATTAAAACTGCATAAAATTTATTTAATTTATATTTTATTACTATCCATTCATTTTTATACATCTTCGAGCATTAAATGAATTCAAATTCAAAGCCACCTAGGTTAGTGATTCTTTTATTATCACGAGTCTTTTTTATTGTATGACGAAAATTATGGAACCTTTTTCATGAAGATTTTCATAAACTAAAAAATTCTTGTGCAAATTATAGTGAAAAAAAAGAATATCTTTAATTATTAAAGGAAAATTATAAAAATTGAAGTTATAAGCTGGCAAAAGGTTTTTTCTTTTATATACGCCATAGGTTTGGGGATGGCTCAGTGGGCTGTTGCTTAAAGGAGAACGTCGATGCGATTAGGTTCGATTCCCTAAAGGAGTAAAATTGTACAAAAATCCAGGTGATGCTGGTGACTCACCTATATTTCTATCGCCAAGGGACTCCCTGGCTTATTGTCCACTGCGATAAGCCAATGAAGCGAGTTCAATAAAGTAATGATGAGTGCTCCTTAAAAAAATACGCCATAGGTTTAAGACCAATGATTTAGGTGAAAATCGTGATTGTGCCAGATCACGATTTGAATGGTCGTGTCGTCAAACTGGCCTCTATGAGCTGCTTGGGGTCTAAGGCAGTTCTTTTATTCCCTTAATTCATTTGAATGGTAACAAATTGCTTTTTATTAATCATTATACGACAATTTATTATATTCATTTATTATATTTAAAACCATTAAATGTCTTTTGTATAAAAGCTGATAAAATGCCTCTTTTTGTAAATTCATTGCCGGTTGAGGAAGTGCCCGATTTCAAATACCTTGGATCCACTCTAATACCAAATGGACAGGCAAAAGATGATATTACAATTCGGATCACGAAAGCTAGAAGTGTGTTCTTCCGGTTGACGAAATCTTTATGGAATCGTTGAAATCACCATAAAAACAAAAGTCCGCATCTATATAGACGTAATCCGTTCGATTTTGCTATATGCTTCTGACACATGGCCAATGAGAGTAGAGGATATTAAAAAGTTATTTGTCTTTGACCACTCTTGTCCAAGATATATCTTACGGGTTCGCCGAGTGGATAAAATCTCACAAGATCGCATCCACTTTCGTTCAAATACCACTTGCATAAATAATGTTATCACAGAGCGCCGCCTTCGTTGGTTAGGACACATTTTCCGTCGTCCACCACAGGAGTTGATGCATATTTCATTATTTGCTAAACCGTGTGACGGTTGGCCTCAAAAGGGAGGTGGGCCAATCAAGACCTGGACTGATAAAAGATTTTGAACATTTTGAATATAGGTGGACCAGCAATATATGGACTTAGACGATGGAAAAAGGAATGGCTTGCATTACTGTCGACGATAACATCAGATCACGCTGGTTGGAAACGTCTTACCCTTGTAGCCGTTGAAGCAAGCGTAACTAATAATGGTGAAAGCTGTTATAAGAAGAAGAAGAAGAGAACCATTATGTAAAAAAACTTATATGAATATTTTAAAGCCTTCAAAAAACTTTTGCAATGAAGTTTTAAAGATTTTTTTGGTACCCCATCTAGGAATTTTTGAGAAAAAAACTTCGCTAGCCACTGTGCTGGAAATGGCAAATTCCACAATTTAATGAATAAGCATGAACCATTTTGTTGAAGATTTTCAACTGAATGCAACGAATCACTTTCGCTTAACTTCCGTTTTCTTTTTTTTGTTGCAATTTTATTATTTATTGATGAAGAAGAATCCTTATTGTCATTTTTTTCTTTCTTTTTTATTCCAATAAATTCCAAAAAACTCGACCGACTTGACGCTGAAAAACAATTATTCTCGTTTTTTTTAATCTAACATTCACTAAAAAAAACTTTTCAAAAACTTTAAATAAGAATTAGTTTAATCTTTAAATGAACTTAAGAAAAAAATAATATTTATTGGTACGTATGAACTGAGATAAAATATTTCTGAAGAAAATAAATCTCTTTTTTTCAAACAATCGGTTTTACAGTTGTAAATTACGTTTAAAAAAAAGAAATTACAATCGAATATTAATGTAAAAAAAAGTTGTAAAAAAAAGATTGAAACGATGGAAAATGGTTGAAAAGATTTTTAAAAATTTTCAAAATGATAAGTTTTCGCATTTGGCAATTTTTTAGGTTAACAACAACGATTAATATGAATTAAAATATTTTGCACAAATTAGGCCGACAGGAAAAGCTTTGCGTAATCAAATATTTATGGTAATCATTTCCCGATTTATCGAAATGTTATCACTTACTGTTTTCTAGATTATTAACAAAAGAATAAATAAACGAACTCATATTCTCGGAATTATCTCTTGATGATGCAGAAGAATGGGTCATATATTCGGGTATCAATGAGATATTCGTATTCCGTTTTGTTATTGTTCGTCTTCCTCTTTCACCTTCTTCCTTTTTCGCATATTGTGGCAACGCTACCTGTAAATAACTTTTTTCCTATTTGATATAAAATCATATTTGAATCATATAAAATCATATGCAAATTTACCACAAATTTATATCGAAGTACCATTCAAAATATAGAAATTTTTTAAAATTTTCTCTTTCACACATTTATTCTTTTTTATTCTTCTGTATTATAAAATTCATTTATTATAGTTGATTTGATTCAAAATTCAAAAATATTTATTACCCACTTGCATCCTAAAAATTTGAAAATTATGCCAATTCTGTGTCGTAATAAATTTTTTCTTTATTGATTTAATTTATTCATCCAAAGAACCAAAAAAAATAAGAAAAGTAAAGTTTTATTGACTCAAAAATGGCACAAAAGTGGGATTTCTTCGATATTTAATAAAATTATTAATAATATTAATAACGATAGTAATAATAATAATAAAAATTTTAAATGAATGAAATTGGAGATTTTTAAAGTCGGCCGCTAACGCTGTTCGCATCAAAAATATGTCTATTTTTGTTTGAATTCGCTTTTTAAAAAAATATTTTAGAGAATAATAATAAAGTAATGGAAAGTAATTGTTGAAATATTATTGAATTAAATTTAATTTCCATTTGATGAGGAAAATTTGTTTAATAGGAAAAATGATACACTGAATGCTCCAATAAATTTATTTATTTATAAATTTATTTGCGTTATATAATTTAGCAGTTAGTCGCGAATATTTTTTAAAGAAGTACCTCGGTGAAAACTGATTGTTCTGCTTCTGAATCTGACATTTCCGGCATAACAAGAGGAGGTATACTGTTTTTCCTTTTTATCAAGAAATTCGTAATACGTTTCGTATCCGATGAAATATCTGTCGAGCTTGTTAGACTTTCCTAAATCCAATCCGATAATTGTAAGGATTTTCTTGCTAAATCAAATCAACTTATGTTGTATACTAAGGAAAATAATTTTAATAGTATAGCAAGAAATGAGAACAAATGTTCAAAAAGTTATTTGGCAAGAATAGATACTAAAAAATTTTAAATATACTGGGCGGCACACACTAAAGCTAATGAAATTACTAGTGATAAATTATCCTTACCTCTATTCAATTACAGTTTTTTATATTGGCGAATAATGTGAACTTGATTTTTTGATTCGAAATTGCAACAATTGCATGAATTTTTAATATTTTCGATTTGTAAATTCATTTCAAAGATAAAATTCTTCTTCGAATTTTATTCGAAAAAAAATACTTAAAGCTTAATTAACTTGCAAATGCGAATATTGATATATACCTTACACGGTGGTGTGGAAAGTCTCTCTCTTGCGCCACTTTGAATTTCAATTTTACGACCAACAATCTTTGGTAAAATATTAGCTCGCGAGTCTATGAATGCTCCAAGACGATTAACAAACCCTCTCGGTGAATTCTGCTTTAGATGATAGCGCAATTTTCGGTTCTCATATCGCAACTCATTAATTTCATTGGCCAAACTACATAAAATACCTTAATTAATAATAAAACTTATAGAAAATATTAATGATACAATGGTCTCGGGACATTTAAAAGGACTTTTAGAGAATCTATCGATTATAGGTTCAATATGTCGTGGATCCAAGCCGAAGTTTTAGCGAAAGCCTTTTGATATTTAAATTGATTTGAAAAATAGCTCTTAGGTAAAATAAATTATTTTTTCGTCTATCTTTATTAGAAATCAGGAATAATGGTACTTCGTTGTATTGCGATGAAAAATCGAAATAGTCCTTTGTTCAATATAGAATAAAATTTCATATATCCGAATGCATATTTTATCAATTTTTCCTAATAGAAAGGATTCATAAAATAAAATCGACAAAATATCGTTATTAGTAAATAAAAAATAATTGTTTCTCCAACTCACCAAGCATTGGAACATCATTACTTATTGTTGACTGCTGTGGTACCTGACTTTGCATTTCTTCTAGCTCCTTTAAAAATTCCTCTTCTTCATGATTATATCTTTAAATTACAATCCCAGTTTAAAAAAGCTATGAATAGTTTGAAATTCTTTATAAGTTTTATTAGAAGTCCTATTTTCTGGCTCTAATAATTCAAATAATTTGTAAAAGAAGGGGTTTTAATAGACATTAATGTTTAATGCTTCAATAATGTTTAAATCGACCATATTGGCTACGAGTATGGCGTTGTTAAAAATTGAATTTATAGAGTTTTTAAAATATTTTCATTAAATCATCATATCGTTCATAGGCAGTTCGTTGACAATGGTTTCAAAACTTTTGGCAGTGAAAATTTTTCATACTAAACCGGTTTGTTGATTATATTTTCATAAACAATTTATCCGCAATTTATCCAGTTTATTTTACTATATTTATTGGGTTTGCATATGAGAAGATTGATATTTTTTGCCCGAGAGAAAACATTTGTCTCTCAAATAAATTGCTAACAGCAAACATTAGCGGTTTCGGCAGTTGTTTTTTAAAAACAATAATAATGGCAAAATTAGTATAATAATAATAGCAAAATTAAAATAAAAAATATATGGTCTTAATGGTTTAATTTGCAAATATAAATCGATAGCCTTAGAGACGAAAAAAATTTTTTTTTTTGCTCATAATAGGCTGCCTCTCTTGGCTTGTCGAGCTTTGCCATAGAGTTACTTGGTGATAGGTGTATAGGTGAGTCGCTAGCATCACCTGGATTCTTGAATGACAAGCTTACTTCTGCCGAGAATAGTTACCCACTATCGGCTCTCGAAATTAGGGCAACAATCCACTCTATCACCATCAGTGTAAATTTGAAAATCATAATGATAATGATAATAATGTAATTGTGATATTGTAATAATAATAATAACCTGGCAAGAATCTTTTTGATGAGATCTTCCTGATCGGTCCGACTCGTTTCGTCTTTCATGTCTGTACTGATGACCTCTGTATCAATCTATAAATATAATATATAATATATATATCAGCTGTGAATTGTTTACAACTTCAATGTAGAGTCAACAATGACATTTTCAACTTAATCCAACCTCACTTGGCATATACTTCCATCACATTTTTAAACTCTTTACATTCGAATATCCAAGAAATAATTCGAACTAAAGAATATTTAGAAAGATAGGCAATCATTTTCATAAAATATCTCAAAAATTTCAATGAAATTCCTCCTTTACGATCAACTTTTGTGAATTTGACAGTAATAATTTTTGCGCAATAATTTTATTGACATTCATTCTAAAGTAAAATTAAAAATTTTTGGGACTAATTTTAAAAATTATCAGACTGTATGTAGTTTTATTTGTTTAAGTTTTAAAAAAGAGAATTCAGCCAACAATTAGCATTTTCACTATTGCGATACAATTTGGTAACATCAATATTATTGCAAACTTTATATTTTTTGCTTTCTTAATGATCAAAATTTTTAAAACTTGTCATAATTGCTTTTATTCGCCGAAAGCATCAAACTACTTTATATATAAAAAAATAAATTTGCCTTAAAGTCTCGGCCTAATCCTTAATTATCCTCAAAATTTGTGGAAATCTCTCTAAAATTTTAGAATACACCTTAACTATTCTCTTGTCGTAACCTATTGGCACCGTCATCTTAAACCTTTTCTTGCTAATTTGAAAAAAGAAACTGTTGCTGCCTCTGTCTCATCGCGATGCACTGCCAGCAATCACATATCATAAAGTCGCAAGAAGGAAATATAACAAATAGAAAGATTGGAATGATGCTGGAAAGATGAATGAGTATTGAACGAAAATAAAACAGAATGCAAAACCAGTGGAGTGAGCATAACCGGAAACGGTGAACATTTTTAGAAAAAAGGACAGAATAATGGTGATTTGGGGAATTTTGTTTTCGGAATTTATTATTAAAATGAGGATTAAAAATGAAGAAAATGAGGAAATGAAGATTATGAATATTACGAACAAAAACGAAAAAAAAAATCAAACTGAAAATAATAGGAGGATTCAGGGATGAATGTGATTCGAAGTTTTGTGGATAACAAGATTTGTCAGCCTGTAATATTGGTCTTTTTAGTAATAAATAACTATGGATAGGAAGATCAATTTTAACTGCTTCGTTAAAAGCGGCATTATTTTTGATCAGACTTATTCTATTGGCTGTGTCGTGAAATGCGATTTTTTTTCTAAATTCATTATTTCAAACTGGTAACCCAGATACGCCAAAAGAAATCTTTCATTAACTTAATTATTTATTCCATTGTCATATATCAATGAACCATTAAGATCAATTAACAGAAGTTGCTCGTCTCAAGAAAATTGTTTTTCTTTTCTTATTGTGGAGCCATCAAGGAGCCATGATCCAAACGGTTGGGTCCCAATATTTTGTTATTTTGCATTTTTATTATTAAATATACTATTTATACATTCTTTATTTATTTGCTTTTATGGTAGTTGTTCTTTTAGTCTTTGGATTTAATTTATATCGTGTATGATTTGTCTTTTTCTTATCATTATGCTACTGAAGTCTAATTACACAAGTTTGAGGCGTGAGCTGAAGAAAAAAATTTTTATTAATTCGTGCCATGATCAATATTTCTACTACTGTCCTGATAAAGCAGCCGGATCTAAAATATTAACGCGTGGAAGAGGAGCATCATTCCGCCATCATTCTACTTGCATTTATTATCCTATTTTATTTTACGTTTTACGGGCCGTTCACGAGTATTTGTCAGGGAATCACTTGGGTTTACAGCAAAACTCTGATTTTTTAATGGTTTATTGTAGGAGAATCTGAACGCTCCACGCTTATAACTAACTACTCGGCTACTTGGCTATTTCATTCTGAAAGGAAATGAACGGGTAATTGAAAGCGAAAAATAAGTGGTGGTAGATGTTCATACCTACATTATCATACCTATCCCCAGTTTGACTTTGCAAATCAGAACGAACTATATTAGAAGTGGTGGATGCTATTAGAAGAGGAAAATTTGAACCAATAGATCATTTTAGTAAATTGTATTTTTTGCTTGCTTCAAATTTAAAATTTGGTAAAAGATTTGGTAAAATTTACGATTTACAATTTTCTGAAAATAAGCTGACCAAATTTTTTATGTGTAAGAGAAGAAAAGAATGGAATTAAACGAACGAATTCCGTAAAAGTCGATCCTGAGAATCTATCCGTTCTGCATTCGATGCTATTTCGCATTGCGAATAGAAATTTCATCCCTAAATATTTTAAACTTCATTGACGGAATTATAAGGAAAAATTATGTTAACTTACCCACAGCTCAATAACATATGATACATATTTATATTTATTAGGTTATGGATTTAATTTTAACAATTTAGAAGCGAAATTTAAAAATAAAATATTCATTTTACCAAGAAAGCTTTCTAATTTTCAGTGTTTAATGGGTTTTCGAATATTTGAACAATTTATTTTTTGATTTAAAACATAAAAAACATGAATGAAAAAAGAAAGAAATCATTAAAGTTTACTTTAAATAAATTGCTTGCAATAAACTTTATGCTAAATTTTTATCTTTTTTCAATTTATCATTTTAGATTTTGCTGGCTCCATTATTATGCTAAGATCTGAGCCAAAGAACCGTTTACGAATAGGAATAGATCAGTAGTAATAGTTAGTTGATTTACACATTCTCATAGAGGGCAGGAAATCAATTTATGCCGCTTGGCCCTTGGTCGAAGTAACTTCTTCAGTGAAATGTTTATCACAAAGTTTTGTAAAAAAAATGAACTATATGTTTAACAATTTTTTATTTTAAATGTATATATACATACATATAATTTTGAAAATCTCTTTCTTATCCCCTGAGCGTTAAGGATCATCTTTAACCTCGGATCCTTTACCAGAGGCCTGGGAGATTGAAGATTCTAGATAGGGTTTTAGGGCTCTTCTGGACAGAGATCTTTCATGTTGTTCCTGGAATATGCTGAAGCCACTTTTCTAAGACTAAGGTCCTAGTGTTCATTATAGTTCCTAGTGTTCCAGTTATAACTGGGACTGCTTTGACCTTCACTTTTCAAGTGTTTTTCTAACTTCTCATTCTTGTCGCTTGGTTATATTTATATTTTGCTGTATTTATTACTAGTTCTGATTTCTGGTTCTTGTCTATTACTATCTGGTATCTAGTATGGGATATCTGGTTAATTGATCAGTGCATTTTATATGTCTGGATGGAGAAGTCCCATAGGACCTTCATCTTATTATTATCTGCGATTTTCTGAAGAGTTTTTCATCTAGTCTTGTAGTCTAAGCTATATACTGATATTCTTTATTCTTGTACATAATGCCAGCTACCTGGCTATTCCTTTCAATGTATACTGTTGCTGCCTTTATTTTACATGTTTTTGCCACTGTTTCTAGGACGCTCATATTCTGGAATTGTGTCTAATGTGGTAGTTTCAGTAAACGTGGTGCTCAATAGTTGCAGTGTTGTCTTTTAGTCCAACTTTTTCCAATCACTTCCTCTTTCTTTTTATTCAATATAGGCTAACTCAGATATCTATCGATGGTACACAACCTAGAAGGTCTTCTTTTGCCATGATACTTCCTCTAGTAGGATATTACATATAATTTATTTAATTAATTCATAATTTTGCAAAAATCATTTCAAAACAAAAGATGATAAAACTGATGTGCATTTGAACAATGCCATTTAATTAAAATGTTTAAAAGGTGAAGTTTGCGATTTTTTCGTCCAAAGATTGCTTTCACCAAAGCTTTCAAACAAATGAAATATCACAGCTTTTTCTCCATTTATTAATTGAAACCATTAATTTTTGAAAAAACTGTCAGCTATGGCTTAACGGATGAAGTGGTTTTATTTAATAACTGATGATAATAATGTTTGAGTGTATTCCAAAAGTTCAAAGTGAAATGTTGCATTGGACTTGAATAATCTTTATTTTAACGGAATAATTATGATAAGCAATAAAATATTAACATGAAAACTCAATGCTATGTTCTCCGCTTTGCTTTTCAAATTTCTGCTTCGCAAATTCATAACTCATAAAGAATGTCAAGAAGCTGAATTAATAAATTTTTAACATCAAATTTCGCTTAACTCGAAAAATTAAAAAAATTTTTTAATTTTTCTTTACTTCTTTTTTTTATAGCTATAATAAATAGTATAATTTTGTATAGTATAATAATAAAATAATTTCTGTAAAATTCATAAAATTTTTTGGAAGTTTTATTTCTTTGCAAAAAATTGGATTAAGATTCGAACTAAATATGTATTAAATAATGCTTTAAAAAAGTTCAGCAAATTTTTCAAATCTTATTTAAATGAATGATTTGCTTTCTCAAATTTTTTAGTGAATACTAAATTTATTTGACGAACTTTGCAATGATCTGAAGTTATTTGTTATTTGATCTGAAGTTACTTTGAATATTTGAATATTTCACGAATTCCAAAATTTTTAATTTTATTGCTCATGAATCTCTAATATTCCATGAATATGTTTAAGCATACTGTACAATGTAGTTTGCTGCTTTATTTGAACTTGCTGAAACTAAAATCGAACGGCAGTTGCTTACTTACTATCGGGGGAACTCAAATATAGCGAATCAGCTTTTGGAATTTTCATCGATAATTTCATTACCATTTCTAATATTAATATTATAAATATTTCAATTATTATTTCATTCTTTTTCTCCATACAACTACCAAAAATTCAATTGGTTTTTGTTTTTAAACGATTTTTTCTTCATTTCTTCTAACTTTTCTAAATTGTGTTTATTTATACTTTGTTTTAAATCGTTATCAACTTTCACGCTTTGCATATTTAAGCAAATCCAAGATGATTTATAGTTCTTCTTTTCTCGAGAATATTTCTTTATTGCTACAATACTGCAGGAAATAATGATATGTGCTTTCTATGGTAAAACACCTCACATAAGCCAAAACAACAAAT